CTTAATGTAAATATAATTGTTTTGTCTTATTGAATATATAAATAGGAATTAATTGAACTCGTGACTTGTCCATTCGTCCCTCATGACTTTAAATGTGAACGAATCCATGTAAGAGAAACAAAAAAGATTTCTATTAATCAATGTCGAAAAGAATATTTTTCTATTGTAAACAATAAATAAATATTAATGATGACTCGGTTTTTTATTCTTTTGATTATTTATAATCTGAAAAAGACATAATCTTAATTATTTCTTATTTTAAGACAAAAGTGACATTTTATTAAGGATCAAGTAAAAAAATGTGTCAACTAAAGAAATAAATAATTAATTAATTAAAAATATATTATTTTGAAATAGTTTAATTATAAATATCTCTATAAGGATTATTTAGAATATACTTAATTATATCCGATTCAAAATAGAAAGTAAAATAAAAGAAAATTTCATTGGTCAAAAAAAACAAAAAAATAAGATTTTATATTATGTTGAACTTACTTTAGAAAATCTAATCGGATTTTTTTTTCAACGAAAGTTTCCTTTTTCGATAATGAATAAGTAACAAGTGTGACTATAAAAAGAGTCATCTCATTTTCTTTTCTGTGAATCTCTCGATTTTTTTTTTCTTCTTGCTTTGTTTCTCTTTTCTTTTTCATCTCAAGAGAAAAAAAATAATATCTTATTCTTATATTTGACGTATGTAAATGTAACTATGTCTGAAGAAATCTTTCTGCTGAGTTTTCATTGGAAATAGAAAATGAATATAAGGAAAAAAAGGAAGAAGAAGAGAAGACAAAGACGTGCTTTGTCACTTGTGTCGATAACCCTTCTTAAATGATAATATTCTGTAATAATCTCATATGTTATTTATTTGTTTTTATCAATCGAAAGTATCATTAAAAAAGTTCATTGTTTTTTCTATTTCTAATAATATGTCAATATTCATATTTAGAAATCTAAAATGTCAACCGTTGAAAATAAATGACGTTGATAATGATTATCTTCCGGTGCATGTCGGAAACACGATAAGACATAACCATTTTGTTTTTATTTTATAAAACAAAATCCTTATTCGTCGACATTCATTTTTCTATGATCACTAATCATCATTTCTATATACTTAATATGACTTTCTTTTTTTTTTTTCTTTATTATTCTCGACAAGAAAATGTCAATATTTTTTATCTAAGAAAGGATTTCATTTGAATATATAATGACAAGTTCGAGGATTTCATCAACTACCAACATATTTTTATTTATGAGAGATTTTAAAGTTAGTTTGTTTATCCTGAGAAAAACAAAATAATATATGATGTTTTTTTCTTTCTATTCAATTGTAAAAACGAGTTCGAAGAAGAAAAGTTCATTTAGATCTATATGATTAAAACAAAACAAAAAAAACATAAAAAGTAAAAAATTCTTATTTAGATTGATAAAAAATGATAATAAAAATCTATAATTTAATTATCACAGATGAATAAATCTATTTAATAAAGATTGATTTACTAAATATGATATATGATTCAGATAAATTTTTATTTAAAAATAAATAATATCTATTTCAAACAGACAACATTGAATGTCAATATGGAAGTTTATTTATTATTTTATAATTACAATATCCTAAAATTGATCTTATGATTAATTTCAACAATCCTTTTTTAATAAGAGATTTTTAAAATCTTCTTATCATTATAAATCATTGTCTAATTTTAAATTTTAAATTTAAGATAATCGTTTTTATATTTAATATTTATTTATTATATAATATACTTAATCATGATTTTATTATGAAGAATTTATTTTGAATTTATCAACTTATACAAATAAATTCATTGATCATTTATATTTAAAAACAATATCAAAATTTAGGTGAACTAAATTGAATTATTTATTCTTAAATAAAGTTTTTGTTCTATTGACTAAACTTAATGAAATGTATCGTATCAATATCTAGATTAACATAAGAGATATATCGACATAAATATTATCATATTATTCGATTTATTTTAAACTAATATCAACTTAAACAGAATGTTTATTTTAAATCAATTCGAATATATAATAACAAACAAAAATAATATTGAACAACAATTAAAAATAGAAGGTTCAATGTTTAATTTACTGAAGACTAGAAAAAATCTTTTCCATTGTATTATTCATAGGTTTTATTCATATTTTCAATATAATCAATATCAGAAATATTTGATCAACATAATAACTATTTACCATATTATAATGTACTTTACACAGTTATAGAGAATAAGCTTCATTCTTTCTTCATTTATAACAGGAAAATGTCTTGCTTTCATATTATAATGTAAACGTGTCTATTATCGGCGAATTCTATAATTAATATCCTATTTCTATCCAATTAATCTAATTGGTGATTCAATTAAATAAATGTGATTGTAGCTTTCAGAGGTATCTCGAGTAGGGGGAAGAGGTCCGATATTAGCTCTTCTCCGCAGTCTTGAGAAATTTTCGATTTTTTCCCGGTGAAGTTCCAGCGTTTTATTTGCTTTGTTTTGCTCCGCTATTCTGAAGAAAGCGTGAGACTCCTCCCAATGGTAGTGACCTCAGAACACTCCTAATTATTTTGACTATGTTTAGATCTGTTAAATACATAATAATAAATGAATGGAAAAATAAAAAAGAAAATTTATTTTAGAATAAATTCTTTTTCATTTATTCTTTAAAATTCAAATAAACACGAAAGCATTGACTAATTTTCCTTTTTGAAAATATTATTTAAAGATATTTGTTTTTCTTGATTGATTATTTAAGATTCGTTTTAATCTTTATGTTCAAATAAGATTTTTTTTTTCAGAGAAAACAAACAATACTCCTACCGAAAGTTTAAGATCAAAGGACTCACGTCTGACCGATCAACAAAATAAGAATTTCACATGAATTATGATATTTTTTAGATTGATTCTAGTTGAATCAAGCATGTTTTTACAAGAAATAAAACAGATCCTCGTCTGTTCTTCAAGACAAATGTCACATCATGTCTATATATATATCAATAAATTGCAACGTTTTTTTCTGATAATATTTGGTTGCCTTTTTAGTTCGGTACAATTAAATGAACTTTAATGTTTCTATGTTGTATTATTGCTAAGTTAGAGGATTTAACAGTTTGAAAAAAAAGACAGTTTTAAAGTAAATATGTATCAAGAAGATATATAAGGTGTCCAGAAAATAACTCGACAGAAAAAAAAACTGAGTATTTCCGCTATACTTAATCTTCATAGGCTGAGTTTTTATTCTGCGTCTTTAATCATAAAGATGAGATACATAAACAGTGCTCAGAAATATGGTTTAAGTAAAGTAGAGATATTCGATTTTTTTGTCTGCTAAGTTACTTTCTGGACACTATAGAAAAGAATATGGAAATGGTTTAATTTCTAGTCTGTATATGAGTGTATCAAAACATATCATATGTTGATCTCGATGTGTTTTCGTTTTGATAGGTTTACTCTTAATATTCAATGAGAGATACTTTTTCTTTTTTCTCTCTTGTGAAATACAGGCACCACTCCTGTAGTTACAGACAAGGAAAGACTTCAACAGAAAAGCAATATAAAAAACAGAGAAAATTTTTTCATATAGCCTTATTCTGAGTAAAACCCGGTGAGCTTTATCTAATGGTATAATCATCTTCCCTACGGTTCAGACTATGCCCTTCCGCAGTGAAAAAAAATCTAAAAGACCGGTACTTTTCTTTAGTTTTTTATGTGTATCCATGCAAAAGCCCAATAGGAGCTGATTTCAGAACTGTTATCCTTGTTTTCATGATGGTTCTACATGTCGTATGCTTTAGGATGAGAAGCTTAATGTGATAAAGCTTGGTAACACGTACGATCTTTACTTTTTCATAGAAATAATTCAGTTGATGCCTCTTTCTTGTTTGACATTGATCATTGACTCAATAATTTGGATAATGATTGTATTTTAGACTTTAAAAGTTGAAAATAGCCTCAGATATCATTTGTGAACTAATTATACTCGTATGTTCATACTTATCTTCTTCAAATTTTATGCGATTTATGTGTGTAAGAGCATTTTTGTTACCTTGGTGGAAATTGAACGACGAGAATGTATGTAATAGTGGTCTCTCACTTTACAAAGTCCATAAAATGATTAACCATAGAGCAATGTCCAATGTTTTAAATAAGTAATGAACGAGAAAAGATGAAACAAATTGTTAATATAAACTCCGATAAGAAATAAGTGATGTCTCATAACATATGCATAGTGTCTCCATAGACAGACATTCTTCTTATTCTTCTAAAGCTGAAACAATTACGAGACTTAATTTGGTATTTTCATTCTAGCCAATGAAAATAGCACACTTTCCAGTCTTTTTGAAAAGCAGATCCTTCATAAATTGTCAGAAAAATGATTTAGTCGAATCTTCTTGAAACCATACAAAAAAAAACAACTTATAAGAACGAGTTTTGGAATGAATTATTCATGCATTTACTAAAACGGAATAGACTTATTTTGCCATGATTATTTTCTATTGAAATTTTCACAAAGTACTCACGATTATAGAAAAAAATCTGAATATACCATTGGATAAATCTTATCAAATTTTATTTGAAACAAGTTTAGAAATTGTGGAACTGGATCATAAACGAATATGAATTATTTTGACTCGAATCTAGTAACTTATTAACTTCATCTGCCTATTCTGTAGTATCTAATTCGTCGAATGTAAACACAGTAGCTCTATATAGACAATAGAGAGAAAATGTTTGCTAAGCAAAATAATATATTCATATTTATCATTGCTTGTTGAATAATATATCAAATAAAAAATTGGCTTAGCAATAATATTATATAAAAGAGCACGATAAATCTATAATAGCTAACGAATTGACTTTAAGAAAAGTCCTATTTTCTCGATTAAAAGTGAAAATCCAGAGAAAAATGTTTTTCATTGTTTTTCTAATCTGATTGAACGAAAAATTTTCGAAATTATTTTCAAATATTTCTTATAATATTTGTTTAAAAATACATATAAAGTAATATAATTCTAATAAATTATGTTTATGATTATTGATATCATTGAAAGTTTTCTTTGACTGATTCTATTAATTATAATATAATAATTAATTAAATATAGAAATATATTTCATTTTGTCTTTTTTATTTTATTTAACTAGATGAGATATTATAAATGTTAGTTTTTTTTTTGTATGGTTTCAAGAAGATTCGACTAAATCATTTTTCTGACAATTTATGAAGGATCGGCTTTTGA